TTGCACATTTGACAAATGTATTAAGTGTAATAGAGAGCACTTTGAAGGTTGTTTTATAAAAAAACCAAAAAATTGAATTCCTTTTTTTTGAAAAAAATTCGGGTTTTTTTTTCGGGGAAAGATACCTCCCGGTATGTATCAGAGGAAAGTATATAACTAAAGCCACACTTCCTCTCTCTTCCCTTGCAGAAGACACCACACCCAGTATTTCCACACCTTCCTCCTTAGACCACCTCTGCTGAAACATGTTTAGCCACACCTCTCAGTTGCCTCTTTCCTTTCACGTGCTGGTACTGTCATCCATGTAGATGCCTAAATAGGAATCAGGGATCATTCTTAGCTCCTTCCTCTTACACACACCCCACATCTAGTTGCACACAAAAATGGTTAGATTCTAGTTTCAATTAATTTTCCCAAACCACAGTTCCCATTCTGTATGAATACTCAAGTCCTGCTGGGATTGCTTAAACAGTGCCCATATGCTCTGCTTGCCTCTGTCTCATTCCTCATGAGCAGAGTGGCCTCTTCAAGAGTCAGATCTCATGGTATTCCACTACACAACCTTCATGGGCTCCCGGACTCACCAGGAAAGGGGCATACACTTTGCTTGTGGCACAAGGGCTTTCAGGACCTAATCTGGTCAACTTTTGGCTCATTACCCTCCCTGGATCCTATGCCACTGTGCCATGTGTGAAGTTGTCCAAGGTTGTTCAGCTAAAAGTGCAGGAAAAAGGAATCCAACAGATGCAATCTGGCTCCAGGATCCAAATTCTTAGTTGCTAAATTGAACTGACTCCCTCCATTTGTGCAGCTATTAGGATTGACAGGTCTCATACACCCATCTCCAATCCAGACCTCACTGTAATGCAATGAAATCCCCACAGTGGCTGAAGCCAGACCCCAGAAGTTCTTTACTCCCAGGTCTTTCTTATCCTCGGCTTGTAATTCCTCACTGAGTCTACTTAAACTTACAAAATCAACCAATCAATCAATACTACCCCTTAGATCAGTTCTAGATATGACCCTCAACCCATGACTCTACTATGTCCCATCTTCTCCTACCCTAGAGTTTGACCCCTCACATTCAACCTTATCTTTCAGCGAAAGTGAATTTCTTACAATTTCCTGGTGCTATATTCTGTTCCATAACATACCACGGTCATATCCTTGGCTGTGCTACTTTCCCAATTTTTCCTGTCTAACACAAAGCTCAGGTATGGTTTCTCCCTGGGGGCCTTCTCTAGTCCTGCATAAACATATTGAAATCATTGATTAGCCTGTCACAGGGGGAGAGTCTGCAGATGGGTCTCCTGTAACTCTCAGCGCCACTGAATGAGTGACCCAGGGGGTTAAGGCACCACCCCATACCTTTGAGGTAGGAGGTAGGGTAATAAATTACATTGTCACAACACTGTTAGTTGACTGAATTCGTCCCTCATGTTCCACTAGACAGAGAAGATGCGAACCAAGCCAGCATGAGGTTCAAGTTCAATGTGATGATGGAAGAGACTACCAATGTACACTCTTACCAGTGGAAAGACTTTCCATTGCCCATGTCTTCAGCAACACTTTTACTGTCTTTGTCAGTTCCCCCACCCCTCCAATTTAGCCATTACGAATGGTGTTAGATGATTTTTTTTATTGTGCATATATTTGTGATGTATTTTTGGAAACTACTAAGCAGAATTACATACTCTATGATACAATTCTATACTTATCATTAATATATCACCCAACAGAAATGCACACATACATAGCCAAAACCAAAAGATATATCCAAGATAATTACAGCAACATTATTACTCCAGACATAGTAACTCCAGGTTAGAAATTACTGAAAATCCTCTTGAGTAATGTGAATGAACTGTGGCGTGTTCAAACAATATAATATATAATACTTCAGGTGATGCAGTGGTTAAGTCTTTTGCTGCTAACTGAATGGTCAGCAGTTCAAATACACCAGCCACTCTATGGGAACAAGATGTGGCAATTTTGATAAAGATTACAGATTTGGAAACCCTATAGAGTTGCCTCTGTCTTTCAGGGTTCTTTGAATTTAACTTGCCTTAATGGCATTGCTGATTCTCACCGAGAGCAAATTAGGCAGGAAACGTGAGCATAATGCTGAAGAGAACCCTATAGCGATGGGCTTCCAGACGAGACTCCTGATGGCAGCATCTTGGTTCACTCTGCCCTCCTCCCATTCAAAAGGGAAAAGCTTTTTTGATTTTGGCAAGTTGCAAACCAAAAGTGTCTCCTATATAAATTAAAGTTTGTAGGACATTGAGAATTGTGCCTGCCCTATTGAAAGCTCTACATAAATTTACTGAATAAAATAAACCACATTAAACACTTCTGTTTCTTCAAGCGTATAAATTTGAAAAGCCTGATACACATAACTTAGCTCACTTGAGTTTACACAGCAGCTTCTGGATCCTGAGCTGGCTTCTCTTCAAAGTCTCAGGCAAGAAAAGTTTTATGGTGGAGCAGAAGGGCAACATTTACTCAAAGACAAAGTTCAAAGAGTTATGAAGGAGAAATGGAAACAGGAATGCAGGGAGGAATTAGGATAAGTGATGGTGTACTGACATTGTTTGCAACGAATGAGGTGAAACAAAATATGTATAAAATGTGGACTTTAAAACTATGATCTGCTCTGTAAACCTTCACCTGGTTCACAGTGAAGAAGATCTGTATCTATTTCCTAACCCCTGTAAGGAAGTGAGGTGAGAGTATGCAGAGCAGGGCTCCCTGCAGACAAACTCATAGTCAATGCTGACTCAGAGCAACACACCCTGTGGGTGTCACAGAAGGTAGCTGTTTATGAGAGTAGAAAGCCCATTCTTCCTTCCCCCAGCTGCTGGTGGTATCCAACAGCTGACCCATGAGGATCGCCACCCAACACGTAGCCACCACCCCACCACCAGGGCTCCATCCCGGCACAGACAGGAAGAACTCTGCTGCAGTCATTCTCTATCTGACTCACATGGAGGTCTGAGTCTTTTCTTCGCACCAGCAGGGAAGGTAATGGAGGCAAAGGGTGAAGTTTCACAGCACTCCCTACAATGTACACGTCCTTGGAAGCTCAGTCTTGCATCCTTAAAACAAAGAGGGCCCAGCCCCCTGGTATGGGGCCTTACCTGTGAAAGGATTCAGAGACCAAGGAACCCCAGGAGGGTGCAGACAATTACAATGCTCAGCTGACAAGGAAAAGGGTTGAGTCACAAGGGAAGAAAGGCTTGGAAGCCTGGGAATGTCAGACCCTGAAACCCATAGAGCACCATTCTACGTTTGCACAACTAGAGTTGCCATGAGTCAGTCGGTTCCATGACTTTTAGTTTCACGGAGGTAACATCAAGATAAAGCACTATCCACTTTGTGTCTGACCATACCTTGCACATTGAGATGAGTCACATTGTGGTTTGAACATGTAAGGCAGCAGTTCTCAACCCGTGGGTCTAGGCCCCTTTGGGGGGTCAAACGACCCTTTCACAGGGGTCCCCCAATTCATAACAGTAGCAAAATGACAGTTATGAAGTAGCAACGAAAATTTTATAGCTGGGGGGTCACCACACATGAAGAACAATATTAAAGGAGCATGGCATTAGGAAGGTTGAGAACCAGTGATGTAGGGGTAATTGATAACAGTGTTTCCAGATGTTACATTGCAATAACAAGTTCTGTTTAGCTATTTTAAAAGTGTATGAGCCTACAGCACTCTGTCTGGCCATCTTCACCTCCCAAAGAAGCAAATCCTGTGCCTTACACAAATAGGAAACCAACACAGGGAAGTCATCTTCCCATCAACCACTCTGCTCCCCGCAGACCTTTATGGACACGTCCTATGAGACAGGCACGGTCTGGGCACTGAGGAAAATGCAGGGAACAAACACACCAACTGAGAAACCAAGTTTAACTGCACCCCTTGGCTTTCTTTGGCCCCACCTCCCAGTGTTCATCCACCCTTCAGTATGAGAAGTTCCCAGGCAGCACTCCATCAATTTGGGATATGCCAGATCTCCACGTGGCTGGGACGTACACCCAGGGACATCCACACTAACGGCCTGGTCACAGGATCCATCAAAAGTCCTTCAAAACATAGGGCCTGTGTTCTAGCCTTGGAGGGATTTTTAAAGTCCTGCACGGATTTGCATAGTTAATATATTCTAACTCACTCTCAAAAGCAAAAGTGGAGTCACCCTAGCTTAATAACACGTAGCCTTTCAGTGGCCAAAAACGAGAGGTCACGCACGCCCAGTCTCTTTGGTGGCTGCATCCACCACTAAGGAAAGCCACAAGACATAAAGGAGGCGATCCCCTCTCCCAGTTCCTGGGGGTTAAAGGAAGGTAAAATGGAGGGTTGTCCCTGAAACCTTTTTTTTTAAGCTTCTTTCAGGGTCTCACTTCCAGCACAGGGGTGAGCTGCAACGGGTGGACAGCGGCGGCAGCAGCAGGTGGTCACACAGTGCCCAACCACCACTACCCGTCGCCACCCAACCCCACTTCCTGCCTCCAGCTGCCCCACTGGTCTTCAAGAGCGAGGCTCCTCACGTCTTTGCAGGCAGCAGTGTGCCTTTGCTTCTCACTTTTTTTTAAAGTCCAAACTCACTGCCATCGAGTCCATGCTGACTCACAGCGACCCCCTGTGGGTTTCGAGCCTGTCACTGTTGACAGGAGTAGAAAGTCCAATCTTTCTCCCAAGGAGCAGCTGCTGGTGGCTTTGAACTGCCGACCACACGGATAGCAGCGCAGCCGTAATCAGGTGAAAAAGTTCCCTGTGGGTGTGACCAGGACAGAACAGTGCCTCCCCTGCCTGCCCCACGTGGATGCTGGAGGAAATAGGGACCCTCTGGGACGCTCGAGGGGGCGCCCAGGGGAGAAGTGGAAGTAGAGTGGAAAGTTGCACAGGGAGAAAGGATGGAGCAGGGCGCACCGAGGGCGCTCGGGCGCGCAGAGGAGCGGCCCGGGGGGCGTCCCCACCCCCTGAGCCAGCCGCTGACCTGTCCTGCCCTGAGTGCCAGCTGCACAGCCACTTCGAAACACTCCTTCCAGGGGTCGCCCGCGGCCGGCGCCGCCTCATCTTTTCCGCACGGCTTCATGGCTGGCTCCGTGGGGTGCGGCGACGTGCAGCCTGGGCTGGGGGCGCTGCGGGCGCGAAGGCAACCAGGACGCCAGTCCCACCGCCCCGAGACCAAGCTGGGAAACCTCCCGGGCGCGAGCCAGCCAGTCCGCGGCGCTGGCGAGGAAGGCCTGGAACTCAAAGGGCGGGCAGCGCTCCGACTGCGTCATGCCCCGCCCCTCGGCCCGCCCCGCCTGCCGCACCCCGGCCCGCCCCCTCGGCCGCCCAGCCGCGCCCCGCCAGCGCCTCCAGCTGCGACCTGTTGGAGAGCCCGCGGCCCCGGGGGCATCCGTCCGCACCGCCCGCACCTGGACGGGAGCCGTCCGCCTGGCCCCTGGCGGGGAAAGCGAGGCGGAGCAAGGAGAGAGGAGGAAGTGAAGGCTGGCGGGCTGGCGTCGGAGAGGCGCGCGCCGCGGCGGACACCAGGGCTCCGGGCTGGGAGGCCTGCGCGCTGCCTCGCCGGCGCAGCGTGGCTGGGCCCAGCCGCAGCCTAAATGAACTTCGGGATACAGATTCTAACCGGGAAGGGTTTCAGCGGAGAGAATGCCGTTCCTTTCTCAGTGGGTTTAGCGCCGGGCTCTGGCCTGGCTGGTGCGCAAGACCCGTTCCTGCGTCGTCACCTATGGAAAACTCTGTCCCAGGTCCGGGGGGCCTATCAGGCCCGCGCCTTTGGCTCTGGATGCTAGGCTGGCCTCCCAGATCGAAATGCACAGAACCCACAAAGGGGGTGTTGTTACACACTCTTCTACTCCACGTGCGAGCTCCGAGCCCAAACTTTGATTCTTTACCAAACCAAACGCAATTGTGTGAAGTACTTTCAGTCTCAGCGACCCCGACCCCGTAGGACAGCATAAAACTGCTCCATCGGGTTTTCAGGGTTTAAGTTTTTACAGATTGTGAGCGCTACATCTTTCTCCCTGGAGAAAGCCAGTCAGTAGCTGGTGTGTTGGAAACAACTGCTACACACACACACACACACACACACACACACACACACGCCTTTTGGTTAGCAGCCACACTCTTAACCACATTGCCCCCCACACACCAAATACCAGAATCTATTAGGTCTCATAGAGACCTTCTAGAACAGGGTAGAACAATGCACTGTAGGGGTTCCAAAACTCCTAATCTTCGTGAGAGCGACAGCCTCGTCTTTCTTCCTGCACAAGAGGTTGGTGGGTTTGAACTGCCAACCTTTGGGCCACTCTAACACGAGAGAGAATGCTGGCAACACATAAACATAAATACAGTAACTTCTGAGAGGGACTTTGAGGAGTCAGTACTGGAGTTCCATAAGCATACCCCTCTCTCCCCCTGCCCGCCCCCTCCCCCTCTAAAACGGGCTGGCCCACACTGCAGAGGACCACTCTGCCAAGCCTGGGAGAACAGAACAGTGGCAGTGCCCACAAAAGGCACTTCCGCACAGTTAAGCTTTTGATGCTGTTAGACCTTTAGTTACAGCCCTGCTGGCACTTTATGACGGAATAGCCTATGGAAAAAGGAAAGGAACTTGAACATAGACCAAGAGGCAGTTGAAGCCGAGCAAGACCAGGATGGCAAGACTGTCTCTCAGACTTTGGATGTATTGCCAGGAGAGACTAGGCCCTGGTCTCTACATGTTTTGAAATCAAGAAAGTATGCATTAGAGTTGTGCCTTTTCACCATAGTTATTCAATCTGTACACTGGGCAAATAATCCTGGAAGTTATATGAAGACGAAAACAGCATCAGCATTGGAACAGGCTCAGTAACAACCTGCGATACACAGATGACACTATCTTGTTTACTGAGAGCAAAGAGGAGTTGAAGCACTTTCTGATGAAGATTTTTAAAAATACAGCCTTCAGAATGAATTACAATTCAGTATAAAGAAAACAGAGATTCTCACCGCTCAACCAATAAGCAAGATGATGATAAACAGGAATGAGTGAACTTGTCAATGATCTGATTTGATTTGGATCCACAATCAACATTCATGGAAGCAGCAGTCAAGCAATCAAACATCTTGGATTGGGAAAATTTTCCTACAAAAGGCCTCTTTAAAATGTTAAAGAGCAAGGATGTCTCTTTGGGGACTCAGGTGCCCCTGGCCAAGCCATGGCATTTTCAATTTTCTCCTATGCATGTGAAAGCTGCACAATGAATATGGAAAACTAGGAGGACATTTGATTCATCTGAATTATGGCACTGGCGAAGAATATAGAAAGTACCAGAGACTGCCAGAAGAACAAACAAATCCGTCTTAGAAGTAAAGCCAGAATGCTCCTTAGCTGCAAGGATGGGGAGACTGTCTCAGAACGTGGACACTATATTAGGAGAGACTAGTACTTGGGAAAGACATCATTCTTGGTGAATTAGTGAGCTAGCAAAAAAGAAGACAACTTTCAAGATGAATTGACACAGTGGCTGCATCGTTTAAGGGGCTTAGTGGACTTCAAGCAACAACAGTTGTGAGGATGGTGCAGGAGAACAATTCCCACCTAACAACACCTCGCAGATCACTGTTACTGCAAGATTGTGTTGTTGTTAGGTGCCATTCATTCGGTTACAACGCTCAGCAACCTTATGCACAACAGAAGGAAACACTGCGCTCTCCTGCAACATCCTTACAAATTGTTCTTACATCTAAGCCCATGTTGCAACCACGGTGTCAACCCATCTTGCCGTAGGGCTTCCTCTTTTTTAACTGCCCTGCTACTTTACCAAATATGATGTCCTCCAGGACGGGTTTCTCCTAACAAGATGTCCAAAGCATGTAAGATGAAGTCTTGCCATCCTTGCCTCTGAGGAGCACTCTGGCTGCACTTCTTCCAAGATAGATTTGTTTGATTTTTTCAATGTTCTTCTCCAGCCCTACAATTCATATTGGGTCAGAGGCACATTAGTGCTCAAAGTAACATCCTTGCTTTGCAATACACTGAAAAGATCTCATGTAGCACATTTACCTAATGCAGCATGTCTTTTGATCTCTTGACTGCTGCTTCCATGAGCATTGATTGTAGATCCATGCAATACAAAATCCTCGATACTTTCAACCTTTTTCCATTTATCATGATGTTACCTATTGGTTCGATTTTGAGGATCTGGGTCTTCTTTACATTGAGTTGTAATCCATACTAAAGGCTGCAATCCTTGATCTTCATCAGCAAGTGCTTCAAGGCCTATTCACTTTCAGCAATCAAAGTTGTATCATCTGAGTATCACAGATTGTTGATAAGCCTTCCTCCAATCCTGATGCAGCATTCTTCTTCATATATAATCCAGCTTCTATGAATATTTTCCCAGCATACAGATTGAATAAGTATTATGAAAGAACACAATCCTTACACACACCTTTCCTGATTTTGAACCCTGCGCCTAGATGAGTGAGTACCTGCAGTGCTTTGTCAACTTGCTGAAACATTTCAGTGGGTATTCCATGAGTTCCTGCAGCCTTGTTTTTGGCTAATGCATTCAGTGCCACTTGAACTTCTTCCTTCAGCACCATTGGTTCTTGCTCGAATGCTACTTCCTGCAATGCTGCACTGTGGATAGTTCTGCAGGACTGTGGAGACAGCAGTGTGTGCCTCTGCTGCTTTTCACGCTTGCACTCCTCTCAGTGGCTTCCACTGCCCCCATGACTCCAATGGTGTTTGCCTTCCCCTTGATCCTAGTTAACACAGGTCAACACTCAATAATTGACCCTCCCTTCCCTTTCCATCTCCAGTTTCCATGAAAGAATATTCTGTTTAGTGTGAAAAACCTGTTCTAGTGCCCTCCCCTCCCTTTTTTTTCAATCGTGCTCACAAACAATATTTGCCCTTTTGAGGTTAGCTAACACCCTCCAGGTTCACTCATGTGTGAGGGTTCGTAGATTGATTGCTAGTCTTTGACATTGTGTCCCAGCAGGTCACTAGGCCCTCTAGTGGTGTCCAGTTACAAGTTGGGCGGCTCACTTCAAGGTCCTCAAACCCAAGCCCCCCCGCTGCTCCATGGGAGAGACATGGGACTTCTACTCCTGTAAAGAGTCACAGGCTGAGAAACTCACAGGGCAGTTCTACCCTGTCACTATGAGTCAGCACAAATGCATGGATTTTATTTTGGTGATCCTTGCCTAGTTTTTCACTGGGTTACTCATATATTTTTCTTTAGATTTTAGAGATTAGTTCTTGTCCATTGTATGATTGTAAAACAAAAAAAAAGGTTCTACTTCTTGAGTTCCCTGTTTACTCTTTTGATTAAGTCTTTTGATGCACATAAGTGCCTTACTTTTAATAGGTTCCATGTTAACTACTTTGTAATATACTGTGTTTGTGTCCTTTGTGATAGCCCATAGTGTGTACATGCTTGTTATATGGCCATGAAGATTATTTTTACTTTCTCATCGACTATCTTGCTAGCTCTGAGATTTGCATTTAGGTCTTTGATCCATCTTGAGTTCATTTTTGTACATCGGTTGAGGCATGGGTCCTGTTTCATCCTTCTCAAGATAGAAATCTAACTATGCCAGTACCATTTGTTGAAGAGACAATCTCATTTAATATTTTTGGACCTTTGTTGAAGACCAATTGTTTGCAGGTGAATGAATTTATTTATGGGTTCTTAATTCTGTGCAGTGGCCTATGCATCACAGAAACAGGCTGTTTTAGCTCCTGTGCCAGCTAATAAGTTTTGAGGTTGGGAGTGAGAGGCATCCGACTTTGTTCTTTTTCTTAAGAAGTTCTTTCCTTATCCTGGGTCTCTTCCTTCACCACATGAAGTTATTGATTATTTTCCTCATTATACACCTGATCTCTTTTGAATCTAGGTGCAATATATCCCTAATAAAACACTAGCAAACAAAATCCAAAAGCACATTCTAAGTCATACATGATGATCAAGTGGTTTTCATTTCAGTAATGCAGTAATAATCAGAAAATCAAACATCATGATAAACTACATCACTAAAAAAGGAAAATAATTACATGATCACCTTGTGGATGCAGAAAATACATTTAATAAA